GGATCTCTCCAGCTTCTTGAATACACTCTATTGGTTTTTCTTCCCCTTCTAAGTGAGGATAGACTTCATTAAACCAGTCTAAGGAACTGAACCCAGGCCACACCCCTACAGAAAAACAAATACATGGAGATTGTATATGCTAACACATAAACTGTAAATTACATACGGATATCAGCTGATTGTTCTTTTGAATGAATGGAATCTACAATTTCAGGCAATATCGAACTATAAACAACATATAAAGAAAATTTAACCAATAAGACATGACTGCTTACTACTGATTATTAAGAGAGTTTGGTTTTTTGAAAGTCATGCAGTTTTTAATTATCAAGTGGGTATATACTTGGATTTACTGAGAAACTGAGAGTAAACCTAACAAAGCATGTCGATTGCACGTCACAAAGCATATGTCATCATTGTATCCCATTATTTATAAAAACTGATTAAGAACATTAATTTCCCTTATAATGCAATTCTCTGGACAGTCTATATGAATGATTATCTTATTATATTGAAATATACAAGCATATGATCGAAACTACACTGACAATGCATAATTTAATTTATTTGTAATCCACTAAGGGGCCACTACAATAAAGTCAATTGAAGGATTTTGAAAACCTCTATATTGCTGCAATTCGTATATGTCTTGACCATATTGTCTTCAAAAATTATGTTATTATTACAACAATACAGGAAGAATATTGGGTATATATTTTGATTTGTTCAATCAATGTCCTTATAGTCTAATGTGTGAATGCGTGATAAATGATTGAAGATTTCAACACTTTCAAAACAAAATGGCAGCCAGTCAGCCATCATTGAATAAAAAGAAAGTGATGGGACAAGTAAGACTTAATATACCCCTTGGTCAGTTCCAAGTTTGAATGAAAATTATGCCTGAGTGGTATTTTTCAAAGCTAAAAAGGAACTATGAAATGAATGCCAGCTAGTTGAAATGGATAACATATTACCTCCAGGAGGAGTTTTCTGTGGTGGATATAGAAACCAACGTTTTCTGCCATAGACGACACCATTCCATGCATCTGCATGCTTATGAAAGCTAACACCCGATTTGGAGGCACCCAGGAAAAATATACTATCATCTGTCTCATCCTGAAACCAAACAGTGCATATTAAGCTATCAACAAGTTGAAACATTTAAAATGTATAGGAAAACATGAGGTGAAAATGAAGATGGTTTTTTTCAAGATTTTTTTATTGTTTCTAAAAGTATGTAAATCTGAATATAGTGCGCCCTCAAGGTTTCAAAAACAAAAATATGATATATCTCAACAGAAATGATGAGAATTAATTCAAAATATTTATAGTTAGTAGGAATTTAGCATTTTGTTTTGTATCACCACTGTATTCAAACAAGTTAATAATTCAACAATCCCACCATAAATTAAATACAACTACTGTTTATCTATTTATCTCTTCCCATTTTTAAAGGTGTAAACATTGGGTGAGTGTGCCACAGACTCAATGGGAAGGCCAATTCCACTGACCGAGATTCATTCACTTACGAATGCGACTTTGGGGGAACCTTGGTTAAGGTCCGCAGGTGCTTGTGTTCGACCGAGCCTGGTTGACGCCAGGATAGCGCATTAAAATTGCCATTTGACAGAGAGATGGCCACACAGCCCTGTCATGTAGTCCCAAACATGAATATAACTTCTGTGGCAAATGCACTATGTGTCAGCACTAGCACTTGCAATTTGCACATACAAAAAAAAGTCAGGAGAGACAACGGTGACATTCAATGTCCAGAACTGTCGCCTGGCACAAAAATACTTAAAAAAAAACAAAACATTTTGAGCGCCTAAGTCACCATGTCAATTTTTGTCACCATAAAGACATTTTAATTTGACCAAGACTTCTAGCCAATAGGAAATCATGTCTACCTGTACCAAATTATCAAAAAAATATAAAAATATTTATAAAAACAAGCGACATTTTGCCAGGAAAAATGATGGCATTCAATGGGTTAATGGTCTTGAAGAGAAAATCTCATTTACTGATGGGTATTGTGCTCTGAGACTAGTACCATACTGGTAACACTGAACAGTGTAGCACATACGGGTATTATGGCTCAAATAGTCATAAATTGTGAATAACTGGTTAGTAGGAAAAAGGTAACAATTGTGAATTTTCATTATTTCTGTTTATAAGAATTAGCAGGTTTCATTCTCACCATTGTTGGTCAGAATAAAAAAAACTCTCACTGACAATGGTGAAAAGAAAAATAGATTCTCATCAACTTGTAGAAAGTGGATTACTCATGCATGATTCATTACCATCCATTGTGAAGGAAAAAATAAGCACAAATTCAATTTACAATACTTAGAATTACTTGCACAGTGTTTAAGTGCACTGAATTTTGGTCTTGAATTTAACCAAGTCATATGTAAAATTTGATTTGAATTGGAGGAGCCATGGGAGTCAAAACACACACAGTTGATTAAGTTCTTGAACAATTGTTGGTTTGATTAAAATATAGCAAGAATAAAAAAAAAGGCATTCTCACCAGCTTTTTAAAGAAAGCAGCATACTCCTGTATAATTTATACCATCCATTGTGAAGGAAAATGATCTAATTTATATGCACAAATTTAATTTACCTTCCCACAGTGCTACATGCTCTAAATTTTGACTACGCTCACAATTCTATCAATTTATAAGTAAAATTTGATTCGATTTGGAGGAGCTATATGTCACCCGCAGTATGACGTTTATTGAAATATCCTGCAGGTCCAAAATGACCATCAACAACCACTGTTGCATGATAGATATAATATAATAATAATAAAATCATAAGTCCTACAGACTCTAAATCATTCATGTATACATCTGAAAAACAGAATATATTGATATATTCTCAGATCAAATAATTTCCTGAGGGTACATGAATTAATTGTTAGGACAATAATGATAAAACTATGAAATTTTACAAAGCGCAGCTGTGTCATGAAATATTAATTGAAGCTTACTAAAAACCCTTAAAGGTTCATAAATAAAACATTGTATGACAGTCAGCTAGAATTTTTCACAAACTAAATATTTAATGTCTCCCACCCAATAAGGTTGTTGAAGTTGTATTGTCAGTAAACCTTAATTTAAGGACATTTTAATTTTAAGTGACATGGCACAAAATCAATAGCTGGTGTATTGTGCCATTTATAGAATAAGTTATTATTTGTCTATACTACAATAAATCTTGTCATGCATTGCTGTTCAAATCCTTCTTTAGTAGCATTAAACACATAACCATAGTGTGTCATTGTTAACAAACAAGCGTCTACCCATGAGCCTTTGTGTTTTTAGCATGTGTTGTTATCGTCGCTTGGGACTCAGTGGTGGTGGGGATTATGGCATGATAGAAGGGATTATGGCAATGATAGAGAGGATTATGGCAGTGATAGAAGGGATTATGGCAGTGATAGAAGAGATTATGGCAGTGATAGAGGAGATTATGGCAGTGGTGGTGGGGATTATGGCAGTTTTCTTTGCATATTGGTCGAGCGCACTTATGTATACGTATCTGAACATACTTATGGCATTAAACATGCATATCAGCACATTTAAATGTAAAATATCTATCAGTGATATTTAAAACTTCCTATAATCTAACTCTAATGATTCTCAAAAATTGAGTTATTAAAGTGTGGTATTTACCGTAACTGCAAGATACTCTGGTACTTTGATAGTTGCAGGAAGGGATGTATCTTTATAGAAAAATCGATCAAAAACATAGCTAAAATGAAAAACAAAACAAAACAAAATTACATTTTGTATTTACTGTACCAGCTGGGATATTTTGCTAAGCAGACCACTAATAAATATATTTATATAAGTGATGAATACAATGAATATGATGCTGTGCACTTTCTGTGAACCCACATCAAACATGACTTTGTGACATGAATGTAGAGCCATATGAAACATGACGTTGTGCACTTTCTGTGAACCCACATCAAACATGACTTTGTGACATGAATGTAGAGCCATATGGAACATGACGCTGTGCGCTGGCTGTGAAACCATACCAAACATGACGTACTGTGGACCCGTATGGATCATGATTCTTTGCATTGTGAACTCATGTCGAACATGACGTACAAAATCCTGAAAATACATTCCTAGTTACAATTTCGGTTATTGCAACATATGGGAATACAACAGTTTTTATCGCGTCGTAGTCGACATCTGTAGAATTTCAGTAAATGTGAGCAAGGTTAAATCTGAAATCATGCTAAGGAAATCAAGCAACAAATAATAAATCTGATACTCACATTGGTTCATCTAGTGGGTTTTGTTGATCCATCAAAGTATTCAAAAACACATTAAATGTAGTGAATTCATTTCCTGAACCCCCATGTCTCACAATATCATAAGAAGTTCCAGAAGCTATTTCCCAGTCCTGGTAATTCCACAGTAGATTTTCTAATGTCCAATCTTCCGGGCTGGTCCACTCATTTGCACCATGTTGGAAGACAATAATAACAGGTTTCTTATATCTGTAAACAGTCGCAAACTCCTCATTTGTCAGTTCATTAGAAAATCGTTTATCAATATTACAAATTGAAGAATTCAGTAACAATTCTGTTTCACGGTCACCTCTGCGCCAGCTGTCAAACTTCTCTCTTATTACTTCTTCCTCTCCAGTGATGTCAAAGGGTCTCCATTCTTCAGGATCGGGGAATGTCACAACTAAAAGTACAACTACGACAACCACAATGCTGATGAGTAAAAAATAGCTGGCATTAGCAAGAGTTTTAAATTCTTTTTGCTCAGTTTCCTCCGGAATATCTGTAGAGTTTTGCTCTTCACTGCTGGTTGAATTATCACGTGCTGATAGAGTTCTTCTGTATGTTGTATTGGTTGATCGAACCATTGTAGAAGAATGCGGACCGTTTCATTGGTGAACCTCCTAAACTTCTGGTTAATCGGCTTCTCACATTTCTTAATCTGAAAAGGTAAATATAAATTACATTATAATTAGAAAAAATATAAACATGGGGATAAAAGCATAAATTCATTAAGCTTTAAGTTTCAATATAATATTTATTACAAATATTATATGGCAAGCATAGAAAAATATGGTAAATGAACATTCATGAAAAAAGGGTGATATTGAAGCCATTCATCGTTATTCCTATGGTGATAAGGTCTCATCATATCTACCTGTAGTAAAAAATTAGATGTAGTTATAAAATTAAAACTTATGGTTGTCATAAATTATTAGAAAATTCCCATGGTCCAGAACTTTTTTGTTCTTTTCATGAAATAATGCTTCAACATGGAAATATTTTCATAAAATTTTCAATTTTCCTCAAAATAAATAATTCATACTGGGGTAAAAACAAAACAAAAGTGTCTAAAACAATAATTATGTTAGTAACAATGTTAAACAAAAACTTGCGATAAATTTCTCACATCAATTTAATCTTAAATAATAATTTTTACTGTAAAATACTTTATTTTAGCTGGAATTAATTTTCGCTGTTTGTTTGTTTGTTTGTTTTGTATGGCATTTATTTTCAATGATTTTTGGTAAGTTGAATACAAAATATAGGAAAAGGGGTATATTCATTAGATTTTATTTTCACTGAATCATGCCTTCAGCAAAATTAATTCCAAGCGAAAATAAAGTATTTTCACAGTAATTAAAATTAAAGATAATTTTTACAGGTCTTATTAACTCTGCATACAATGTATCTGCAAATTTTAAACACTTTGTTGTATTAAATATAACTCACAAAACCAATATATACAGCACATACACTATATATTGGTAGTGATTCTTCAATCAATCAATTCATAATATATATCAATCAGTCTAGTTAAAATGATGTTAAGGAATTGACTGTTAACTGACATGTGACAACTGTTCATTGTACAGTAATTATGGACTGCTATTTAATAATTAATATTTTGAGAGATGAAATAATTTTAGTACAAAAGCTATCCAGGAACCTTAAAAAAATGCTTTTATTCAGTTCACCTATATACATTTACTAATGTAAACTATATAGACATTTGCACATAGTACTATTTAATACCAATTATATATTGACAGCTATGACATCTAAACATTAATGAGTTTCGGCATCTGCATCACAGTCATCGTTTGATTTGCAGTTTCAATGAATCTGACCATCCTAGGCTGTCTCTATAAACCCATGCATTATCGTGTTACGAGAAGCTGTATTTGAACTCAGTTAAATTGAATGATTTAAGCTGGATCTATCAGTCAGTAACCTAGTGGTTGTTGCATCAGACTCATGGCCAGTAGACCCAAGTTCAAATCCTACCTTAGGCTGAACATCAAAAGGGTCGACCCCTACCCTGGGTGAGTGTACCACAGACTCAATGGATAGGCCAATTCCACTGGCCGAGATTCATTCACTCATGAATGCGACTTTGGGGGAACCTTGGTTAAGGTCTGCAGGTGCTTGTGTTCGACCGAGCCTGGTTGACGCCAGGATAGCGCATTAAAATTGCCATTTGATAGAGAGATGGCCACAGAGCCCTGTCATGTAGTCCCAAACATGAATATGACTTCTGTGGCAAAAATGCACTTTGTGTCAGCACTAGCACTAGCAAAATGCCTGGAATTTAAGATAACTGTATCACAAAATCATCAAATCATTTTCCTAAAAAAACAACAGATAAACAGCATAGCTATTCACCATGAAATCATCTGCATTCAACAACAAGTGTGCTACAAATGATGATACATTAGTGCTAGACTACCAAGACAGTAATTAATTACACTAAAAAAATGACAATTTATGTATATAAAAACTAGTAATTTAAAGAAAGGAAATACTAAAAACTTGTATACAATTCACTTGCCTGCCCATATCAGTCACAATATAAGTTGTTGTCAATAGAGGGAACACAGAAATGTTTAGATATACTGACAAGTATTGACTTAAAATGATTGATTAGAACTGCAAACATTATTTTCAAACAGTGTTTACGGATTCAATGTTTTGGAAATAATTAAAGTATTGTGACAAGAAATTGATTTGTTTAAGTTGAATTCTCTCAGCATGACTATCGATAACAACAGTCTGCCTTTCTTGTATTCATTCATTCACTTTCACAAATCATTGGGTAAAGGGCCGTCTGTTCCATCATTCTTATTGAGTAGTCAAGTGTACAGCTCTTCTTAGTATTGACAGAAATGACTCCGTTTTAAACCAAATTACAAAACGCTATAGGGGTTCTATTGAAGCTATATCACCCCTAGCAACAGAAATGTTATAAAAAATATCTTACAGTTAAATAAAATGGCAAACGTTAATGAACTCTCATTATTCTATTGTGTGTGTGTGATTTTGATTATGTGTAGTTTATTTATTTTTAGGTAATTTTAGACTAAATATCCATATATTTTTTATTGACTACAAAATTTGATCAGAATTGTTGAAAACATATGGATGACAAGCATTTCAAGAAAAATATGACCTGTCGCTCAATAATTTTTTAACAAAATATTTTGAACAATATCAAAAAAATATTCATATAAAATAGACAAATATGAATTAAACACATAACAAAACTAATTAGTGGTGCTCAAAAATGAAAACAAGAGAAATACTTTCATTTTATGTGAAACAATGTCAGTAGCTGCAAGTCAATAAAATATTGATAGTCAGTTACCATTATATACCAAAATTAGTAAAAAAAAACAAGTGTAAAGATATAGATATTAAA